GGTCTCAAACCCGCGGGCTCAGGCAATCCACTCACCTCAGCCTCCCAAAGGTGCAGGATTGCAGGCTGAGACACCGAGCCCGGCTAAAAGATGCATCTTTAATACACAATCACATATAGGAAATTCAGATAGTTAACTCAGTTTTCCGATGGCATTTCTGGGCAGACAGGCTAAATCTACATTTAAGAAAGGAGAAAATGACAGCCCCATTTCTGGGCTCCTCTCCTCAACAGAGGATTGTAAGAGCTCAGGGACTCCGGGTCCGCTCCAGCCACATTCCCAGAAGTCTCCTGCACACTCGCACACCCCGTCCCCCCCACAGCCGCTGATCTGTCCAGGTCAGTAATGACTTCCCACCCTCAGTGCACACCACGCAGCGTCCACAACTGCCATGCCCTCCCATCTCCACCAGGCTCCTTCAGACGCCACACACTCCTGGCTCTCCAGGAGCCCGGTTCACAGAGCGCAGCCTCTTAGCCTCCCACACGCGCAGGGCTCTGTCCTGGCTTCTGTCTTCATCTTCCATCCCTCCGGGGATGATCCCACCCAGGCTCCTGGCTTAAAGTGGCCTCTGTACTTCTGGCCCCCGCTTCCATGTGTGCTCCAGACCTGTCCGGGCAACTGCCTGGGCCACAGTGCCACACTTTTACAGCCAGCCTCTGGTCTGGCTGCACCCGCTTCCGCCCAGCCGTTCTCTCCTCAGTCCTTGTCTGGAGCCCTGAAAACACGATCCTTCCAGGTGCTCAGATCACCTGAGTACAGTCGTGGCTAAGTCCCTTCTTTATCTCACACGGTACTAGTACCGCCCACAAATCTTGGGGCTCTGCTTTGGAAGTACTTATCTCTGAAATCTGACTGTTTCTATTCCCTTTCCCACACTAATAACAACCACTCTCCCCTCCTCCTCTTGCCCGCACAGCTCTGCTGGCCGCCTCACTTGGGGACCGCAGGCTATTCTCAGCAGAGCAGCCACAGTGGCCCTGTTAAAAGTCCAAGCCCATCATGATCCTCCTCCGACCATGGCCCCCTGCCCACCTCGCTGGAGTCCACCTTCCTCCCCATACCCTCCCGTCTTCATTCCTACCCCTCCCCCCCTTCTGCTCCCCCCAATGCTAATTCTGGCTGTTTCTTACCCACTTCAGGGTGGTCCTGCTCCCTGTCTTTGCACCTGCTGTTCCCACTGCCTGACATAACCTTTCCCAGACGTCCGCACGGTTTGCTCCCTCATCTCCCTGAGATCAATAATGGCTCCGATCAGAACACTGTCCCAATACACATATCCTTCCCCTCCTTCTCAGCAGCTCCATCTGACTCAGCACATTTTTTCCCTATTGTCCATCCTCCCACGGAAAGGGAGGCCCCACCAGAGTCGAGATTTGCGTTCTATTCACCACCGCATGCCCAGGACTCAAACAGTGGGTGGCGTGGAGCAGGGACTGATGGACAAAGGCGATCTGTGGCATGGACTCAAGTTTCTGACTTGGAGCCACGGTCCTGAGGTGGAGCAACACGGTCATCGCCAACTTCATTTTATCCTGAAGAGCTTAACTGCAGACATCGCTGCCAGAGAAGAGTGCAGGCCGTCCCTGATTCACGACGGCTCACTTAAACCTGTTCGCCTCTGCAGTGGGCTTGTCAGACGTCGAACGCACTTGGTCTCTCTCTCTCTCTCTCGTTCGCCTTTTGCTTGACTTTTAGCGACGGGCCTCGCCGTCCTCCGGCTGCACCGCCACGGCGCGCTGAGGTTCCGGCCTCCTGCGCGCGGGCGACGCTCCGCCTCAGCACGCCCCGCCAATCGTGTGTCCATTTCCGCAGAGATGCGGCCTCGCCGCGTGGCCAGGCGGGTCCGAACTCCCGCCTCGGCCTTCCAGATGGCCGGGGCCGCGGGAGCGAGCCGCCGGCCCGGCAGCACTTCCGACCGCAGGCGTCTCCGACTCACGACGCGGGCGTGCACGCAGCCCCCCGCGGGGCGAGGAGCCGCGGCGATGCCTCGGGGCGCTGCTAAGACGCCCCCGCACGCGGAAAACCGGCCGGCGGACTCGGAGACGGCACCGAGCGCCCGAGGATGCCCGAGGTAACGGGCGGCCC